AATTCAATATTGTATAACTGTATTAATTCAACTGTGAACCTAAAAACTTACAGCCACTTTTGAAAGAGATGTATCCTTACTCTGGAGTATGTTACTGAATATGTTAAAGCTATAATGAAATGCTTCTTCTAATCATATGGTTATTAAATTAAAAAAAAACAACTCTTCAAAGCATAAAAATTTGCTCCTTAATAATTAGGTGTGAAAAAACATTATCACTGAAATCTACCTGATGACTTTATATCCAAGCTCAGATGGCCAAGGATCTCAGAAAGTAACCAACTGTGACTTGCAATAATCACACATAGAGAGACTAGAAACGCATGTGCAAACATCTTAGTGTTAATTGCATTAAAAATGAATTTTTCTGTATGAAACTGTATAGTTTAATAATGAAATGGAGAATTTTTTTAAAGGTTAAAACCTCATTCAATTTTATGTCTTATAGGGTTTATACTAAGTACAATATTGAGTAATTGTATTAATTCAACTGTAAACCTAAAAATTTACAGTCAAATTTTGAAATAGATGCATCTTAGCTCTGGAAATTGTTATTGAATATGTCAATGCTGTTGTAATGAAATGCTTCTTCTAGGTATGTGGTTATTAAATAAATAATTTTTAAAAAACTTAAGGGTTCAATTATCCAGCTTGCAAAGGAAAGAATAAAAAATTACAGGGATCTCCAAAAGGTTTTTGCTAAGGTACAAACACTTTTAATGAAAAATTCTTACATCTTCTATGAGAAGAGATATAATTTCCAGAAGAATCTGCTGTCTTCCAATTCATGCTTATGAAGAAATACAAATTGTTAAATTTATCAACAAGTCTGGTGTGGTAGCTCATACCTCTAATCCCAATACTTGGAGACAAGCAGGGTTTGAGGCCAGCCTGGGCTACACAGTGAGTCTCAGGATATCCTGGGCTAGAATAAGATCCTGTCTCAAAAAGCCATAAACAAAATTTAATAACGTATTTATGTGAAAAATAAAATACCCTCTTTAATTAGTTCCAAAATTTGTGTTCTTCTGTCTACACTTACATAGATTCTTTTCTACTGAACTGAGTTCAAACTGGTTCCTCTGGGTCCCTGTCTTAAGGCACCCACACAGAGAAAAGCCAGCTATAGAAGAAGAGACTACTACAGGGGCAGTTGTTCATTTCCTGAGCTAACCCACTTCCTTCCTCAAACACTTCCTTCTCTCCACAAACGTGCTTTTTGAAATTAGCATCGAATGTCTTGCAAATGTATTTCTGGGCCCAGGGCTGGAAGTCCAGGCAATTATGTCATTTTTAACATCATTACTGCAATAACACAAAATTCAAACTTCCAATGAAGTTGTCGTTTTGGTGCTACCAAAGGATCCTTGCAATGTACAGTGTTACCCAACTCAGCAAAAGACTTTGGACCCTTATGAGCTGGACATGTGCTCTTAAAACACAAATGTTACCTGGGGGAGAAAAGTGCCTGCAGGAAACTCATGTTTCCTGACTATACCATATCGAAAATTACGGTATCTTTTACAAGGAAATCAAATGTTTTAACCTTCTAAACTTTAAATAAACTGTAACGAGGTTACTGAGTTCCTTCACTTTAAGTATAACCTGGATACAACACTAAATATCTCATACTTATTATAATTTTATCTTTTATTAATTATACATCTTCTCAATAATTACTTTGTAGAACAAACACAGCTACCATGATTCTTCTGTGCTAATAAATATAAAATAGAATTTAAGAATAAGATAAAATCAGTTCTTACTCAAGTATAAAAAGCTTTATTTACCAAAGGTGAATGATACCACAAAAACTGACAAAAGAATAAATCCTCTTAAAATGTTTATTTTTGTCAGAATAGCTGACAATTTCTGTTTGTGTTTTGAACTACTATAATAAGCATTTCCCCTTGAAAAATCCCACTCAAAATATCTTAATCCTTGAGGTAAAGAACTTTAAAAAAAAAAAATCCTGATTTGTTTTTTAAAGAAAAAAAATATTAAAACTCCTTTAGCTTGATAAATAGAAATAATCTCTTTTTGTTCTACTCTGGTGAACATAAACATGTCCTGTATCTTATCGTCAGCCCCATGTGAGAACCATCCATGAACACGTTCTGCTCCATCACAATGTGGCACTGCCATCTTCATAGATTTTTTTTTTTTAAACAGTTATCAATACTCTTCTGGCAAAAACGAGGTTTTGGAATGTCAAAAGCAAAGGAAGTTTAAATCTCAAAGCAGCTCCAGAAGGAATTAGTCTGAGTCTTCGTCATCAAGATAGTCCTCAGCGTTACTTAAAGTTCGAACCCCATCTAAAGGGAAGAAGATAAAAGAAAGAAATTACAAATTTCTCAGACTTTTTTTCATTTTCAAAGTTTTAAAAAAAATTTAAGTATTCATTTATCTAGTTTTATTGTATTCGAATGAGTGTTCTGCCTGCACATACATAAGTACACCACATATGAGCAATGTCTGCAGAGGCAAGAAGAGGGCATCGGAGTTAGGGGTGGTTGTTAGCTGCTCTATGGGTGCTGGGAACCTAACCCAGGTCCTTTGCAAGAGCCAGTGCTCTGAACTAATGAACCATATTTCCAGTCCCGCTTTCAAAACTTCTGAGAATTCAAAATTAAATAACCATCCCCCTGACATGGATTATACTGTCCTTGAGACCCTTCCCACTTTTGCTTTTCAGCCTATCAAAGTCTCCATTACTACAGCAGCTGCCACACAGTATGTCTACACGTTTGCTAGACACATAAAAGTGAAGCTTTCATGGGACTACCATGTCCACTTCAGAGCAACCAGCCACATACACCATGGCCAACATGGAACACGCCAGCAGCCACTCCACACACGGCCAGTTGGTCCACAGCCTGAGCCTTTACCTGACACGGCAGTGTCTGACAAGAAAGATAACAGATGAGGACAGAAGAAAAGGAGAGTCAACACAAAGACAGGTCATTTTCAGTTCCAAAAACTCTGGAACCAAAGTATGTGAAGAAACAAAAGACAAATTAAAAGTTAAAATAAAAAAGCTGGACCCTATGGAATGTTAACATAATCTTGAATAGAATTCAAAAGATAGCTGAGTTTTAATTTCCATCCATTCAACTGTCTAGTCAAATTCTTATAGTCACCGATTTCCTTAAATATGATTTTAGGGGGGAAATGTAATGCAAATACAGCACATTGTTAGAACTCAATTAAGTAGACAGGACAGGGCACCCTGAAGGTGGTCTCTAACTACCACTGGAGCTGGGGCAGGGTATGAGAAAGGTGGACCTAGAACCCTTGTCATGCTATAAAGCAAAAATTCTATCAGAGAACATTGTGTAAAAAAGTTTCCAGATCCAATCTAAAGATTTCACTAGCCAAAGACATACTATCAACAAAGCACAATGTATTAAAATGCACCAACTAACACATATCAGTGTATACACCCTTATCTTGGTCTCTTCAGTGAATGACAGAACCAGCTCATTGTTTGGGGGGGAGGGGGAGATCTTATGTAAGGGCAACAATCAAGCATCTTGCCCTTGATATATAAACTACTCTTCTAGGTAACTAAACAGTTGTGAGAGTCAAGCATTCTAGAATGTTCTAGTTAAGAATTGAAACTGGAGTTACTGGAGCAGAATGTCACCCCTTTTCAAGCACTAGTAAGATAGCAGATCTAAACCACCAGTAGTGCTTACATCACAGTAAGAGGCCAATCAGGTAATATGTGCCTCTGAGGGAAGAGCATGATATTCTTTATGACACATTCTTCTCTCCACTCCTAAAAAGATGATATAGAGGTCATAAATCAGATCACCCCTGTACATCTAACACAAATTGGCAAAAACATTAGGACAGTGGACATGACAATATTATTGGAATACAGCCAGACAGCACTGTCTAGACTAGGAAACACAGTCAAGTGGCCCAGGTTGATTTAATAAATTATACATTTAGAAAAAGAGGGAAGAGTACAGAGAAGGAAACAATGTCTTTAAAAATCAATTTTAGAAAACAAGCTGGAAATTGCCCCTACCGGCTAGCTTTCATAATGTCTTAAGAGGTGCTAAGAAGGTTTCTGAGGGCAGAAAAGTCATCGAAGTCTTACCCAGTTATGAGTCCTGTGAGCTCTACTGCTAGGCAAGATGTGCCTTCGGGTGCAACAGTGGCATGACTATTATAAAGATAACCAATAACTTTCTGATTTGACACTCGGTCCACAGGAGATAACTTGTGTCTGGTTCTATAAACCTGGTCAAGAGTCCATGGCTGGAGAGGTCATAGACCCTAGAACTTACTACTACTGTTTTGTCAAATGGTCACGGTTTCAAACTGTTTTCTAAATACCCATGTTTAGAGCACATATTAGTTCATCAGAGTAGCTTCCTGTTGCAGTAGGCAGCAATTCATGTAGAAACCCATAAATGGTAATGCCAACAGTAAGTGATGTTGGAATTCTCAGCCCTAAATGGAGCAGTTATAGTGCCCCCTCCAAGGCTCATGGAACATCACAGAAGAGGGGAAAGAAAGTACATAAGACTTAGAGGATGGGGAGGTATGTAGTGAAAAGGCATCACTGGACATGACATAACCACTGCACTCATAAACTCACTTAAGTTGTAGTTATCTGCACAAGACTGGACTCATCAACATTTCATCATGGATGAGGGAGGGGGCCATAAGGCCCCACTCATCCTTGAGGGACTATTGGAAGATAATGGCTGCTGGAGGAATGGGTGTTATTTTCTTCAGTGATACAGCCACTAATAAGCTGCCCTTGTACCAGTAAATAACCTCCCATCCATGCTCATGCAAATAACACTGATTAAACTTGATGGATCACACACAAAAGAAGACATGAAAATAAGGAGAAGACTCACTGGGCAGAAAGGCTTCAGTAAGAAAGGAAGGAGAATGAAAGAGGGGTGGGCAAAACCAACCAAAACTCATTAGATACATGTATGAAACTGTCAAAGAATAAATAAAAAACAAATAAGAAGGATGTGGTGGTGCACACCTGCGATCCCAGTACTCAGGAGGCTGAGGGAGGATGGCTGCCAGCTCCAGGCCAGCCTAGGCTACAATGTGAGATCCTGTCTCAAAAATAAACTGGGAAAAAAAACCGCATCTACTAATCACAAACTGATCTGATATGGACTCTGTCTTTGGAAAAAATTTGTGGTGGGGGGTGTGTACACATGTACACACACTTTTTACTGGATTTCAGGAATCTAACTCCTGGCTATCCGGGTTGCATGACAAGCACTTTTACCCCATAAACCATCTCACTGGCCACAAGTCTGTCTTATACTATTAATAAGACAGTAAATAAACAAGGCACAGATGTTTTAGAAAGGTCAAGATATTAGATATTAAGAAATTATAAGCCAATGTGGTAATGTATGCCAGTAATCCAGGCACTTTGGTGGCTAAGGTCAAAGGATTGTGCATTGTAGACCAGCCTGAACTACACAGCAAGACAAGGGAGGGAGGGAATTGTCCACTTTGGGGTACACTACTGAGTTTTTAAAAAGAAGTCTTTATCTAATTTCAGAAAAATGACTGAAAAAAAGGAAAGGAGGCAGGACACTGCTGGAAAGGGTGCAGGAACTGAGTTACCTCGTTTGGAAGAGGCAAGTGCACTGAAGGACAGTGGCCAGCTTCAGGAATTTCTCAGCAGCCTCTAAGGTACAAGATGTCTCCAGGTATACATCCAGCTCTGTTCTGGAAAAAATTCCAGGAGAACTAGGAGAGATATATTTTGTTCTCCTAACACATAACCAGGAACTTGAGGACGTTTCATAGGTTCAGTAAAAATGTAACTTTTTAGCTAAAGCCTAGAGAAAACTAGGAGAAATCCTCCTGATTTGCTACTTCAGCCGTATGGCCTGCCTGTCGAGATGCCGTGCCCTCAGCCAGAACTTGTGCTGTTTTACTGCTGTTCCTCCTTCTGCAAAGACAAAGACTGCATTGGAGAAAAGCCTGGCTGAAGGACAAAAAAGACAAAGGTACAGCAGTGCGAGAAGCCTGGTCCACATAGCAAGTTCAGGCCAGCTGGGTCTACACAGGGAGACCCTGTCTCAAAAAGCCTTAAAAAGAGTCAGGCTTTTTTATTCAGGTAATTCAGGTATAACTGTAGTGCTTGCCATATTAACACTGCAACTATATGACCAAATGTTCCAATCCTCACCGCAACTAGGATCATAATATCAATCAGTACTGATTTTAATTTAATTTAATTGAGGGAATCAATCAAGGGGGAAAATGTATTTAAAAGTACCATAAAGAGTGAGTTGTGAAAGTCCATTTCTTAGCAGTGCTCGCCAGGTAATATTATGATCTCAACATTATGTGATCTACACAAAGTCAGGGAGGTAAAGTAATGACAGCGGGAATAGAGAAGAGCAGTCCCACCTCCCAGACCTACTCTCAAAGGCTGAGGGGAAAGATGTTTTCTGCCTGCTTCCCCAGCTCCACCTCTGGGTGCAGATCTCTGGGGCCCGAGGAGCATCAGCATTTCCCCTGCTGCTCAGGATCAAATTCATGGCACATGAGACACCAATAAACTTTGGCTTCTAAGAAACCTTATTCCTCAGTCAAGTCTCTCTGAAAATGCTGGTCTAGCAACGGGAAGTCAGTGGCAGAGAAAGGAAGTTAGGCCATAGTCCTCCTTCCTGACCCAGCTGAAGCAGCAAGGACCGGGAAGCCGACTTCAAGCAAAAGTCGCCCCTACTCAGCAATGAAACAAAGATGGGCTCCAGTTTCTCTCCCAGCTGCTAATATGGCTTACCCAAAACTGCAGCCAGGCAGCACCAGCTAAGCCAATAAATATGTTTTCATTCCCTTCCAGAACCCATATCCATAAATGAATCACCTTAAAGACACACACGTTTTCTGGTGAGTATTCATGATTTAAATATAACAAACTCCACACAGAAATGTGTTTACACCATATCTGAAGTGAAGACAAAAGGCTGTGTGGGAACTGGCAATAGGTAGCGAGCGTCATTTGGGAGGTGTTCTTAGTAAACTATGAAGTCGGAGAATGTTCACTATTTCTAATCAACTCAAGCAGGAGACTAAGGAACTTTGTCTCTTGCTGCTTTTGCTAGGAAGGAAACAGGGCTCAGAACATCATCTGCTTCTTCACCAGATGACAGATACCTGAGAGAGAAGCTAGCTTTCTCAGGTTCCAATAAACGGGAATTAAGGTGACAGAAAGAGAAAAGTAATCAGCTTTCCATTTGTGAGGGTAAGAACTGACAAACAGGTAATAACATGGGCAGGTTGACAGGGAAACAGGTATTCTTTGCCTCTGTCATGGAAATGTTCACACTGAAATGACATGAATCAGCTGAACTTTAACACTAAAGTTTACAATGGTGAGTGTAATGCAAAGCACTTGCAAAAAGTGAGTTTCTGTTACGCCATTTTCTTCCTAAAAATGGTGGAGAAAAAAAATGTGTCAGTTGTTGGCCAATATAGGTCAACAGAGGGGACTGTGAGATGGCTCAGAGGGTAGAAATGCCTGCCCCAAAAGCCTGGCAACAGAGTTCAATCCCTGGATTCCATAGTGGAAGGAGAGGACCTAATCCTGAAAGTTAATCCTCTGACCTTCACGTACATGCCACCGTACACACACACACACACACACACACACACACACACACACACAGAGAGAGAGAGAAAAAAAAA